CTGGTGGTGGGACCCCCAGACCCACCACAAGAGCGAAGACCAGTACCATCAACTGTCACACACATTCTGCCACACAATAACAGCCCGCCGCAAGCACCCCACGAAGTGTCCGCCTGGACACACCTCCCCCGCCAGGTTTACCTCGCCGCCCACAAGATCCCGCCGCGTCCTCAGTAAAAGTACCGCATTTGGTGGGCATGTGGGATCCAAATTTTCTAACACAGAGGGAGCGGGACGGACCCTGGAAAACCGGTTCTTTTAGCTTTCTTACGAAAAAGAAAAGAGGTGGGATCAGCCCCTTATTCAGAGTACATCAGAATATGTCGCCCTTTTATGCGAGCTGTTTTGGTGATCCAACGGCCAGGTTTTACCTTCGGCGTCTCACTTGCACTTTGTTCCCAGAAGCTCTGGTGAGTCACAGTCGGAATACATCGAAAAGAGTGGTAGGTGAAGGCTGAGAATTTTTTATGCCAATGCCAGTGTAGTTGCAACACTCGCGAGCTGGCAACATGTTGAATGAATCTAACCTCGATTTCATGTAGATGCATTCAAAATCTTAGCTGTGTCCAGGTTGTGGAAGGAGGCCCTAACTTAGGGATCCGGAAATCAGCAGTCTATGGCTGTGGAGAACAAACCGTAGTGGGGGTGTAAAGTGTGAGCCTCATAATTTCTTGATTAAAGAAATGGAAATTTGAAATTTGAGAAAAACAAAATAGAAAAGAGATCATTTGTGAAATACCCCTATAAGTTGCGATATATGCCAAAATGCCTCTATAGGATGTGGGTAGAGCGAATACCCCTCTGACACAAAAAATATTTCCCGTAGTGCCCCTGGTGCTGGTTGAACCCGCCATCTTTGCAAAATACCCCTACGGGTGCTGTCCATCTTTGCAAACTGGCCCAATACTCGCCAACTTTTCCGAGGCCCTATTTATTTTCGTTTTACCCCTACCGGCCCAGGTCATCTTTGCGTTTTGCCCTGTCATTCATCGTCACGGCTCACCCCTGGTAAGCTCCCCATCTACAACTCCTCCCCCGCCATTCCTCCAAGTTATCCTCCTTTGCCATGTCACCATCTCTGAGATCCTCCTGCCCACCACTCCTTCGGAGTCTTTCTCTCTCTCAGTGCAACTGCTAAAACGACCGTGACAGCGCCTTCTTACTTCTCTTTCTCGTTACCAGCGCACCCTGCTCAAACACAGTCTCTCTCTCTCTCTCTCTCTCTCTCTCTCTCTCTCTCTCTCTCTC